TTTTTGCATTTTTGACGCTCTGAAAGTGCCTTATTGGCATTGACTTTATCAGTATTGTTTGTAGAAAAATGTTGAAATTTTCTCAAATGAACAGATATCCTTTATTGAACACCAATATTCTTAGATAAAATTTCTCAAGATCCCAGCTTTCTTGGTGACTGTATATGCAGCACTGACCCAAAACAGCATTTGATCAATCTTGTCAAAAAAGACATGGGCTGTCCACCACACATTCCACAGGACCACAGTTGTAAAGCTGGTTGTACATCATTGCCAATGGCAGTGAGGAAGCTTGTGTACATTTGCTTTCTGACTTGGTTCTTTACGAACATAGCTCATCTGCTTAAACCTATGTGACTTCTGTGAGTAAACATGAGTGTTTATCTTGGCAAAACTTTCTCTATTCTTACCTATTTTATTGTAGAAAGTGGCCTATGAAACACTGTGTCAATGTTTTCCTATGTTTCTCAAATAAATCCTTTAAAATGTAAATAAATGTTTTTTAAAAAGGAATTTTTAATATTTTTTCCAGATCTGTATTTTTTGCATTTGAACTTCTGGGTTTTAGTCTTTCTATTTCAACACTTGGGATTACAGTTTATTGGTGTTTTTCTGAATTATGACCCAAATCTATATCAAAGATTTAGATATATATTCCCTAGTGATCACTCCCAAAAGTATTTATTTGAAGAAACCACATGCATCTTTCCAAGAAGACCTAGTATCATCCTGGAGTTATGAGCACTGGTTTATGCACCCATTTCTGGTTTTAAATTTTAAAAAGTTACTTCTCATAAAAATTTACATCATGTTAATTAGTAGAGGTGATAAACATTACCATTGAAATCTACCCAATGACTTTATAGACATACACAGGTGCCAAGGAGCCGAGTGCAACCGACTATGACTAGTAATAATCAGATACATACAGATTTGAGATGCATGTGCCAACATCTCAGTGTTATTAGCAAAAATGAGTCTTTCTGAAAGAAAGAGTTTATTTTAAAATGAAATGGAGATTTTTTAAAAGGTTAAAAACTCGATTTTATGTCTTACAGGGTTTATACTGAGTTCAATATTATATAACTGTATTAATTCAAAAGTGAACCTAGAAATTTTATAGCCACTTTTTAAAGATGTATCTTTGCTCTGGAAACTGTTATTGACTATGTTAAAGCTATAATGTAACACTTTTTCTAAAAAATTTTTTAAAAAGTATAAAAAAGTTACTCTAATGAAATGCTTCTTCTAAAAAATAAAAAATACATACAATTTTAAAAAAGTTACTTCTGTATATACACCAAATAAGTTTACTAAAAAATTCCTTTAAAGACACCAGAAGATGGAAGGACCTCCCATGCTCACGGATTGGAAAACTTAATATTGTGAAAATGACCATCCTACCAAAAGCCATTTATAGATTCAATGCAATGCCAATCAAAATCCCCATGACATTCTTTACAGTATTAGAAAAAAACCCATCCTAAGATTCATATGGAAGCACAAAAGACCCCAGATAGCCAAATCAACCCTGAGCACTAAGAGCAATGCTGAGGGGATTACTATACTAGATTTCAATCTGTATTACAGAGCTATAGTCATAAAAACAACATGGTACTAGCACAAAAATAGACTCATAGATCAATGGAACATGACTGAAGACCCAAATATGAGTACATGCAATTTCAGCCACCTGATACTTGACAAAGGGGCCAAGAACATTCACTGGAGGAAAGACAGCATGTTCAGCAAATGGTGCTGGCAAAACTGGATCTACACCTGTAGGAGAATGAAGCTAGACCCATATCTTTCACCTTGTACCAAAGTCAACTCCAAATGGATCAAATATCTCAATGTGAAGCCTGAAACTCCAAAAGTGTTAGAAGAAAACACTGGCAATAATGTACAAGATATTAGGAAAGATGTAGGAAAGGACTTTCTAATTTGGACATCAACTACCCAGAACTAAGGTCAAGAAACAAGTGGGAACTCGTTAAACTAAAAAGCTTCTGTACAGCAAAAGAAACAATATGGTAGTGAAGATAAAACCCAGAGTGAGAGAAAGTCTTCACTAGTGACAGATCTGACAGAGGTTTAACATCCAGAATATGTAAAAAACTCAAAAATCTAAGAATCAAGAAAGTAAGTGGCCCAATTAAAAGATGTGTTTAAGATCTAAACAGGGACTTCTCAAAAGAAGAAATAAAGATAGCTAAGAAACATATTAAAAAGTGTTCAACATCTTTATAATTAGGGAAATACAAGTTGAAGTCACTTTAAGATTTCATCATACCCCAGTCAGACTAGCTAAAGTTAAGAGAACAAATGATACCAAATGCTGGCGAGGATGTGGAGAAATGGGAATGCTTATTCACTGTTGGTGGGATTGCAAACTTGTACAACCCTTATGAAAAGCAGTGTGGAGAACTCTTAAAAATCTAAAAATGAGGCTGGAGAGAGGGTTCAGCGGTTACTGGCTGCTCTTGCACAAGAACCAGGTTTGAATCCCAGCACCCACATGGCAGCTAACAACTTTTTGTAACTCCACTTCCAGGGGATCCAACAGTCTCTTCTGTCTTCCACGGGCATTGTACAACATGGGTGCACTTACCTACATCCAGGCAATACACGCATACACATAAAATAAAAATAATATAAAGATCTAAAAATGAATCTACCATTTGACCCGGTTATACCACTCCTTGGCATATACCCAAAGGACTCATCCTATTGTAGAGACACTTGTACAGCCATGTTTGTTGCTGCTCTTTTTGCAATAGCTAAGAGATGGAAGGAACCTAAACTGAGTGGATAATGAAAACGTGGTACATTTACACAACGGAGCTCTACTCAGGAGGTAAAGAAAGACTAAATCATGAAACCTGCAGGTAAATGGATGGAACTAGAAACTGTTATACTAAGTGAAGTAACACAGACTCAAAAACAAACAAACAAACAAACAAACAAAAAACGACATATGTTCTCCCTCATATGTGTATCCTAGCACCAAATCCTTACATGTCAGTATGTTTCCTGATGTAACTACAGGAACCAGGATAATGAAAAGGAACCAGGGAGGTAAAAGGAAAGAAGGAATGTGAGAAAAAAGAACTGTAGGAGGCAGGTGTTACTAAGGGAGAAATGGATAAAATGGGGGGCGTTTAAAAAGAAGGTTATATAGGAACTTTGGAGTAAAGGGAAAGAAGGAGCTCAAGAGAGGTGGAACCATAGGATACTGGTATTTGGGAGAAATGGAGAAAAAAGGGACACTTTAAATGGGGAACTCATGGTACAAGGGTTAGAAAGGGAGAGAGAGGAGAGATAAATAATGCCTAGCTAGTGTAAAAAAGCCAGAGAAAATATATTAGTCCAACAACCTAATGACAAATTACATATGCAATATTTCCACATGAGTCCATGTATATAGCTGAAGGCTATATAACAAGAAATAGTGTCAGACAGGAGAAACCTTCCTTTGAGTTGTTGGCCAGGGTGGTCCAAGAGACTCCCAAAATTGCAGAGGCTATTGCCACAACCCTTGATTGCCTCCCAGAACTTGAAGTTAAGACCCTACTGTTGAAGGCAGAACATACTTCAGACACAGGATTTGGAGCAATGGAGCTAGAACTGACCTGCAAAGCCACTTCCCCTGAAGGCTAGATATCATAGCTTTGGAAAGCACTATGCAAGGTGCTAAGGGAGAACATCAATTGATGGTCCAACACTGGCCTCAAGACCAAATAATCACAACAATGATCTGCACAGCATATGACACTGGTGCAGTAATAGCACTTTTATGTTGGTGGCAATCAATAGCTACCTAATTGGACTCAAAGCCCACTCAATGGGAGTAAACTCATGTGAAGTACTATAAACATAGCCAAAACCACATGGCTGGCAAGGTCAGAGATCTTAGAGAAAAACCACAAAACTGTTACATTCCTAGACTAATGTAATTTCTTACTATGTGAAAAATATGTATCCTTTTATTTTCAGACCAATATCCCAGTCACCACTCATCAAAGAACTTCTTTGGCACCAGAAAGAGACTATTACAGAGTACCACAACTGGTCACACACAGACATTGTCTGTGAATTGCCCAAGTCTCAATGGAATATCTACAATATAACCGCTACAACTAAGGCTCAAGAAACATAGAACAAGTGGAAAAGAAGACAATAATGAATATCTCAATTCTCATTAATGAAGCCCCCTCATGCAACAGTGGGCCAGGAACACAAGAGGTCACAAATGGCCAAGTGTAGAGACTAAGAATCTTCAGAATTCTGGTCGTTGGACAAGACTCCTATATTAAACTACAGCCACCCAGGGCTCAGGGACCACTGCAGAAGATGGGGTGGAAAAACTGTAAGAGCCAGGGAGGAGGTGCACAATCATAAGGAAATAGAGTTCTACAAGCTCCTGGGACCCTGCTCATATGAACCTACAGCAACGGTGTCAGCATGCACAAGACCCATACAAACTCAAGCAGACAAAAACTCAACACAGAACTGGGAAAATGGACAGCAGACCCCAATCTTAGCTGAAGAAATATTGGCAACTGATTACTGCTGGGTGAGGAATAGTTGATCTTCCTAAGGCGAGAGGCTCTAGATAGGCTGACTAGACCTCAGTGGATGAACTTGCACTGAGGAACATCTGGGGACACTAACTTGATACGACAGGCCTTAAGACAAATGACAGAATGTATGAATTCCAGTGGGGGGGACTATGGAAGGGGACCAGTGGGGAAGTGGATATAGATGATTAAGATTGATTGGGATGTTCTATATAAAATATATAAAAATTAAATAAACAAACAAAAAAATATATTTTAAAAGCAACAATAACAAAAATTCCTTTAGATTTTCATCTATTTTTACACCAGAAACAAATAAAGCAACAAATATGAATGAGCCACCTAGAAGACATTTCCTCCACCCAGTGGCAATTATGTGCAGGGATGGCAAAGGCCAGAGAGCACGCCCTATAGGATTACCGTAAGTGAGGATATACAGGGGTTTTCCATTCGTGTCCATGGTGGTCAGGCAGGGAGCCTTTGGTGAGATGGTCCCCCATCGCTGCAACGCGGCTTCTAAAGAGGGTGGCCAGTTTGTGACCACCCCCAATTGTTCTCCTCGAGTGGCCAGCATCTGGGCCCCTTCTGGCTTTGGTTGATTTGGATCTGGCTGTTGAACTAAATACATTTGAAAATACAAGGTTTTCCATGTTAGTATGATTATTTTGTAGTTTTGTTTATAAAAAGTCAAAGAGATTTATATTTAAGGAATAAATGTATTGGCTGACAGCAAACAAGCTTTTCTAGAATCAAGATCATTCACAGATTTAATAAAAGCACTGAGTTCTTATGGTTTCCATAGAAGGCAATGCAGACCAGAGAACTTAGGTGGCATGAGAACATCCACAGACAACAGACAAACCGTAGGAATGCGTGGAGTCCAGCATTTAAATGCTTAAGTTTAAGTTTGAGATTATTACCACATAGTAGTAATTCAGGACTCCAAAAAGCTCAGATTTTATATTATATTTGGCCCTTCAATGGTGAGATACAGACAGAAACCTGAAAATACTCTGAATAACGAAAGCATGGAGCAAGTACTTTCTTAGGAAAAACTAAAATAAATGCTTCATCATAGAACATACACTGTCCTTCTTTTAGTTCAGTTGTGCAACTAAAATGATTTCTCCTACTTCTGGAAAAGGATTCTTTCTCAAGAATTTGAGTGACTACTTCCACCTGTTGTCCAGAAAAATCAGCTGACTTTAAAAAAAATTATTTATTATTTTCATTTCGTGTGTGTGAGTGTATTGGCTGCATGTATGTGAGTGCACCCGTATCGTGCAATGCTGCAGAGGTGAGAAGAGGGCTTTGGATTCCCCTGGAACTAGAGTTAGGGATGGTCCTTCAGCCGCCATGTGGGTGCTGGGAATTGAACCTGGGTCCTCTGCAAGAGCAGTCAGTGCTCCTGGCTCTTAACTGCTGAGCCATCTCTCCAGCCCCTGGAAAATCAGCTGACTTTTTATTATTTTATTTTTCCATTTTCATGTGTGTGCATGCGAATACATGCGTGCTTGCACATGTGGTTTTGTGTGCATGTGTGTGCACATGAATGTGGGGGTTGAAAGGTGATGTCAAGACTCATCCTTGATCCCTCTTCCATCTTATTGATTGAGGCAGGGTCTCTCAATCAAACCTTAGAGCTAGCCAGCTTGCTCTGAGGGATTCCCTATCTCCACCTTTGGAGGCTACATTTTACAGTGCTCTGTGAATCTGAATTCCAATCCTCACACTTGCACCCAAGTACCTTAACTACTGAGCCATCCCCCCAGTCCTCAGCCAAGTCTTAACTTCAGTTTAACAGATAAGGAGATGAGTAGCTAGGGTTTGATACAACATGTGGATTATTTTGTTTCAGGATTGTGGGTTTGATAAAACATGCAGGTCTATTTTGCTTCAAGTTGTCTAGCTGAAGGTTCTCAAGCATTCCAGGTGAGATGGAGAGCAGAGTTATGTCAATATGCTTTCCTGACCTGTTAAGCTTTCACATAAAGCACCACTGGACTGTGAGCCAAGTATTTCTATAGTTCCATTTTGCTTTGCTATCATCTTATTGAGTCCTCCCAAAGAGGCCCAGGACATAGAACAAAATCACATGCTGCTGAGGGGGCAACTAGCTTCAAAGCTCTGTCCAGCAGCTCAGCACCTGTTGTACCTTTTAGATATGCGTTAGGGAACAGAAACCTACACTCTGATTTAGACTTGTTCCACCATCAAGGGAGGGCAAGATTATCACTCTTAAAAAAGCAAAATCGCCTTGTAGAAAATGTATCACTATTGTCCAGGAAACTTCAGGATGTAAAAGAAGTGAGAGTAGAGAGAAATTCTTTTACCTTCTAACAGCTCCTCAAAGTCATCAACAAAGAATTCCCGTAATGGTGGCCGCTTGGGTCGTTTGAGAGTATTGACAAGTTGCTGGATTTTTGCTGATACCCGGCTACTTACTGGTACACCTGAAAAATAGGAACCACAAAAGAGATGAACGAGAAAACTCCAGAAAGACTAAGAGAGTGCAGGAAAAGTTTCTAAAACAATTCTTCCTGTACTGGGGATTGAGCCTAGGGCCTCACACATGCTAGGCAAGGTATCTTAGCACTGGCATCACAATGTCATCAACACTCATTGTTGAGATACATAGTAGCCACCTGGATTCTGTTTTGTCCATCTTCCACAAAGGAAAAAAAAAAAACACCCAAATTTTACTGACTGATTCTAGTCACTTTTCTGACCCTGACAGGATTGCAACTTAAGGAAAGCAGAAGACAGCAGAAAGTTCCTTTCTGAGGCTTGCTGCTTTGTACCAACACTGGAAACTACAGCTAGTACAACACACCAAGATTAAAAGTGTGGGAAGTAGGGGGCACCTTTCACTATGAAGCTCATCAAAGCATCGATAATCTGTGCTTCTAAAACCTGAAGCATCAAAATCTCCCTGCTAATTTTGTCTTCCATTTAACTTCATCTTACCCTTATAAGTAACCATTCATGGTCTTAACACTGGTACTATCATTTCTTAATGACTCAACCAACATTAGCTATTCATTAGTAAAAACATCAACATCTTATAAAATCTTCTTCTCATGGCTAAATTTCTACAATATTTACATTTTTCAGTAAGGAGAAACTCTTGTCTAACTTAGAGGTAATCTGTATTTTTTATGGTTAGATCACCTTGTAGGGAAGGTTCCTAAAGAACTGGATAAGCTGGATTCAAGGAACCCACTGTGTGTCTAGAAGTAGTACATTTAAGCAGAAAGACCATTCATGGGCACAGGAGGCAAGTCAGTGCAGGGTTCACAAATGGGAGCACCTCGCTTAGACATACCATCCCCGGTCTCCATTAGCTCAGCGTTGCCATACTTTGGTGCTGTCCTGGACGTGGTCGAGCCTTGTGGCCTTTCCACTTGTATCGAGTGTTCTGAGGTGTACGTGGTTACATCAGGAGGTGCAGAATGATTTTCTGTAAAGCAGATTAGGCAGTTTTCTGATGAATTTGAAAGTCACCCCAAACGTTAAACAAATGGACCTAAAAAATGTCACATGTAGGAAAAGATCTGATAAACTCATATTAAAAAAAAAAATCACTTGACCAGATATGGTAGTAAAGGCCTTGTAATTCCAACACTGTAGGTAGGAGCAAGGAGGACCACAAGTTGAGGCTAGCCTGGGCCTATATATAACAAGATCTTGTTGTCTCATAAAACCAAAACCAAAAGGCCAAAAAGAAAAAAAAAAAGAAAAGAAAAAAGAGATTATTCTAAACCGAAGTTGGTCATAAAACTCCCTGTACAAAGGTGATGCTTGAGATAATGTGTATTGTCCCCAGTGGGAGAAAGTTAGGTAAAAACTGAGACATAATTTCATAACAGAAGTCACATCAATAAATCACTGTAGCTTTTAAACTAAAATAATGTTCTGACATGACAAATGGATTATTATTATTGTTAAGAGCTAGGTGTTTGCTCATAGAAGCTGGTCATTTTTCCTGGCTGTAATAAAGACACAAAGAACTCCAGCTTTGACCCTCCAGGGACCTGGGACTGAAAGGTCATGCTGTGGATTCCTGGTCTTGAGAAGCATCTTCCCCTCTCTACACCTCAATGCTCTTATCTACCAAACAGGAGCAGTAACAGCCACACCTTAGAGAGCAGTGGGTAGATTCAATAAATTAACAAATGTAAAACTCTCAGGGTACTTCTTTATAAATGGTGAGAAGCAAGAAATAGTTTAGTATTTTAATTATTTTTAAAATTTTATTTATTATTTTTATGTGTATAAATGTATTGTCTGCATGTGTACAAGTACACGCGTGTCGTGCAATGCCCATGGAGGTCAGAAAAAGGCATCAGAACCCCTGGAACTGGAGTTACACATAGTTATTACCCACCATGTGGGTGCTGGGAATCGAACCCAGGTTCTCTGCAAGCGCAGCCAGTGCTCTAACCGCTAAGCTATCTTTCCAGCTCTTACTATTTTAATTATAACATGAGTAAACCTGAATAGCTGCTCAAAAAAATGCTCATAATCTAATGTACATTAAGCGTCACGCCATGGTCAAAGAGCTGTGCAGACTTCCCTCACAGCACTCACTAGTGGTAAAGTTAAGCTCTTAAATGGTTAAATGGCAGTAAGAACAGTCCCCAACAGAGATAAATTTTACACACTTTAAGTTCTAATAACGCATGCCAGAGTGCCAATTTTGATTTACTAATGCCTCATACATGGAAACTTTTGGAGATCATTTTCTTTATGTTTTCCATGTTAGAAGTATAATCTCGTGTTACTGAAAGTGGCATTTATATAGAAAAACCTTTCTTCTTTGCCCATCTCAGCCTTACACTTGGCTTCTGTTTCATACAAACTTCCACCAACAAAAAGCACAAAAATGTCACACAGGAAAACATAGCATCAAATAGGCATATAGAGCAAGCTTCATTACAGCCAGAGAACAAAACAAGGTCAAGGCCACCTGCTGGACATTAACAAGGAACATGGACTCCAGGCAATGAGAGTTTCAAATTTCCACCCATGTCTGTGAGTGACAGAAAACTCTCCAGTGTTCTGAGGGTATTACAAATAAATTTTACCAAGTATGCTAATACACAAACAGCAGACATGTGGGTCATGATTGAATGTCTACAGAAATGATCTTGTACATACTGTACAACTCTGTAGAAGAAAGACTGGTAGCTGGGAGGGGCTAGTCTGCTTTCCTGGGGAAACTTCAAATGAGCAACACAGGATGACCAACCCATCTGAACCATCTGACCCATCTGGGCAACTCTGGGAACCTTAGTTCCAAAATCTTGTACCCAGAGATGTGAGTAAACATGCATAGGGCTGAAGTACCTGGGTCCAAGTTCTGTAGCCAAGTTCCTATGCCTTTGCTTATTTTATAAAATGGAGATGATACCTACCTTACGTTCACCCTGTACAGTGGGACTATAGGAAGAAGCACACATTAGCACTAATTTTGCCATCATTGGATACACAAATACATACTAGAGAAGAGATTCTCACTAGCATGGTATTATGTGCCGGACAGTAGTCAGTTATAATTAAGTGATCATATGGAGCTTGAATTCTTGATGTTTTGCAGGGTGTGACAGGTGGCAATGGCTCAACAGACCATTTAATACATTCCTTCCCAAGAATACTTGTTCTTTCCATGGTCCAAATTCTCAGCTTGTAGCTCCAACTGCCAGTACTTCAGAATGTAGCTGAAGACACACACTTAGGGACTTAGGGACACACACTTTACAGATATTGAGGTAAAAAATGAGGCTATCAGGTGGACCCTAACCCTGTATAACTAGAAACTTTGTAATAAAGGGGGTGGGGCCAGACAGACAATGCTTAAAGTGCTTGCTATGCAAGCCTGATGACCTGAGATTGATTCCCAGAACCCACAAGGCAGAAAGACAGAACAGGCTCCTGAAAGTTGTTCTCTAACCTCAACATGAGCATCATAACATACATGTACTCTCACACACATGCACAAACACTGAATACAATCAATCAATCAATCAATAAATAAATAATAAAATTTTTAAAAAGAGGGATAAGGGCAGAGACATGAACAAAGAAGAGAGCATGTGGAGACTTGGAAAGATATGCCCCTCTTTAAGTCATGGAGAGAGGCCTTTGAGAACTGAACCCTGCCTGTACCTAACATCTCTAATTTCTCGGCCCCAAAGCTGTGGGAATACAAATGTTCATTGTTCAAGCTTAGCTGTCTATGGTGTTTTGTTCTGGCAGCCAGAGCAAATTATTGCATATCCTTAGGGACAAGTTCTTAGATCCAAACCCAAAGAAGGTGTGCTTGTGTCAGGAATTCAAGAGAATAACCAGACACGTGAGCATAGGAGGGAGGAGCAGGAGGCAGGGTGTCACCTAGTCACTCCTGTGAATGGGAGAAGGGAAGGAGAACCCTCCAAGTTGCCTCTTTAGCATCTCCACCTCTATATTTATCCTCCTCATCCCATCCCAACTGTGCTTTTGCCAAATAGGCTGAAATTCATGTTTCCAAATAATCTAATTCTCTATAACTCCATTGCTTCACGGCCAAGCATTACACTCTCTGGGGCCTCCCAGTGCAAACGAAACACAATGGACACTAATGTATGATGAGGAAGATCTGAAAAGCATTCCCTAAAACAGCAGTTGCTCAAGCATGAGCTCCCTGTGTTTCAATGTGATTCAACTCCAACATACTGCATCATTAGGAATATTCGGTCTTTGCATTGGGCAGGTTCCCACTTCTGAGTTGGGAATGATGATGATTCCAAAATATCTGATGCTGTAAAAACTAGGAACAGTGACGGTTAGGTGACTTCAAAGTGTTTTCCAAATGCATTTACACATCAAGTGACTTCTCTCTCCTAAGCCTCAAATATGCTCTCACTACAGGATAAAGCCAGTGGTTGCATCTACTAGAAGCCGTAAGTTCCACTACTGTAGTGACACAGTACACCCATTCTAACAGGCTTCAGATTCCAGGTCCTCAGCGAGTCACCTGTCTTTTGAGGAATGTTTTGAAGGATCTTAAATATAATGCCTGCTCTAGAAACATTTATTGAGGGATGAGAAACAGTGGCACAGATTGAAAGGGCAGGTTCAGGTCTCAAATGTTCATAAGCTCCAGGCATGAGGGCCAAAAAGTCCCTAGGTATTAGAAGCACTTAAGAGACTCTTATTACAGGGATGTTTATGTTATTAGCAAGACTGCTCACTGCTCAGTTCAATCTCACAGGGCTTTTTTTGGTGTGCGTGCGTGCGTGCGTGTGTGTGTGTGGACCTGTGGAGGCCAGAGGTCAGTGTTGAGATGTCTTGCTCAGTCACTCTCTACCTTATTTTTTGAGACAGGGTCACTCATTTCAGTTAGGCTAGCTTGTCAGCAAGCTTCAGTAATCCACTTGTCTCCATCACCCTGAGCTGAGGTTACTGACGCTCATGGCCATGTCTGGCTTTTTTCCTGGGTGCTGGGGGTCTGAACTCAGATCATTATGCTTGCACTTAACCCACTGAACTAGATCCATAGTACTCACAGGGCCTTAGTTAATAAAATGGCAGCCACCCCTCCAAGTCCATGCCAGGGGTCACCTGTTCTGCAAACCCTGCCCCTACAGCTATCACTAAGACTTCTACCCGTGGTTCCCTACAATAGCCTGTGACACTCCCACAAAGAAGTACTGCTTATCTACCCTGGCATGATTATTATTCTCAGCAATTGGTATGGTTTCTTAAGAGCCTGGAGTTGAAGATGTACTCAGCAGGAAGGTAGAAGATGATGCAATTCAACCATTTTCATGAGGTATCTGCAAGCTGCTTTGACTCCATCCGTACCAAGACATTCTGCCTCACTTGCTGATACCCTCTGCAACATGAGGGTTTTCAGCCTGTTCCATCCACCACATCTAGACAGCTATTTCCTGGTCATGACCAATTTCAAGGTAATTGCTGGTCCTCCCTGTTAAGCCTGCCTGAGTCACTGCCTGTCTTCTTGACTTGACTCCTTCCTCATCATCTGTTCTGACAGTTCTGTTCATTCCATCTTCCTGTTGCAGTTATGGAATGTACTCCTTAAATACCGAGACCACAGAGCATTCAGCCCATATCATCTGAGGGCAGTAAATGTAGGGAGAGTTCAAAGAGTGTGAACACGTGACTGAACACATGATCAAATGCATTGTCAGGAATATCCCAAGATCTTCCCAAGAAGATCACAGACTGGTTCTAATATCAACTTCAAAGAAGCATTTTGCACTTCTAACTGTAGGACTGGGTCTCTCAAGTGGCGAATGGTAGTAGAACCCACTTGTGAGCTATTATTAATTGTATTTCACTCCCTACATACATTCTAAAGAAAGCCAAAAAGCAATAAAATCTGGTTTACTATGTAGAATACAATGTGGTTTTAGTGCAACAATTGAGAATGGATGAATAGCTCAATGAAACCCA